GAGGAGCTGGGGAGCAGGTCACTTCATCAGATTGGAGGAGGGGAGCTGGAGACGGGGAAGGGCGAAGGAGGACTCGGCGAGAGTTAACGGAAACACTCCGTAAAATCAGAGCTAAACGTAAAGGAGGAGGAGAAGAAGAGGTAACTAAAGATACTCTAATGACATCTATGTGCACATCCGACAGGAGAGGAGAAAGTCAAGTGAGCGGGACATTTTATAGAGGATAGAGGGACAATTTGTAGAGGGAGAATTGATTTAATTTAAATCAGGATGGACTTCAAAAATGTTTAATATTTAGTAGGGTTGGGGACACGGCATTAAAATATGATAAACGGAATGATCCGGGCTAGCGTAGTTTAATGTAACGAGCCGTGATTTTGAGTGTTATGTTAAAGTTTAAGGCAAGGTATAATAGGGTTCTAAAAAATATTTATTTTGAAAGAGTTGTGTAAGCAGTGATTTGTAGAGTTACGTTAATATATTGTAGTATAAACTTTTATTCGGAGAATTTTGTAGAGTTACGTTAATATATTGTAGTATGAACTTTTATTCGGAGAATTTTATATTATAGTATGAATTTGTGGTCAGAGAGTTAGATAGGGAGGATAATAAAGTTAGCAAGTAGCCTAATTGATAAATGAAGTCAGGGACCGGGAGGACAATAGGATATTAGGCGTGATTTATGACGACCTTGGAATCCTTAGAATTGTAGCTTCATCTGATTTGTTCATTTGATTAAAACCAAACTTCGTCGGGACACCGTGACTTGGAACAATGAATCTTTTGTTGGAAGATAAGACCAGCTGCTCAAGGTGGGAAGGGCGCACGTGTGGAGATAGGGTGAAAAAGCACGCACTGAGCACTATAAATAGTAAAAAGCTTGGAGAAGCAAAGATAGCTAGTTTGCCCCTTTCTGAGGGGGGTCATTGATGCCGGACACCTTGGATCCAGGAACCGTTACGGTAGGGTCCTGGAGAGAAGGTTGTCACGGTCCATTATATATAGTGGAGCTGTGCTCCGGTACCTGCCTGGCTTAGATGTAGACGAGGGGGTGGTAGTGTAACCACAACTGGGCTCTGGACGAGCGGGCTAATATACCATGCGTTGAGCTTCGAGTGCTGTAGAGGTCTTGTAAGAGTAGATTAAGGGCGGAATCCCGTTAGGCACGGTCAACAGGGGTTGACCGTGAGGGGGAAGTAGGCAGAATAGGGCGTGATAGAGCCAGACGATGGGGTGGTCTTGTAACCACAGCGGGGCTCTGGAAGAGCGGGCTGATATACTAAGATACTAGGCGTTGTGCTGCAAGGGCTGTAGAAGTTATTTAAGGGTAGCGTAATTTAGAGGTGTATTCCAGTATAGTCGATTTGTAATCCTTTGTTATTATCCGAGTTGTTTCCTATTAGTTATCTTGTTTTCATTGGTCTGCAAACTTAATTAAATACAAATAACTACGAACTCAAAAGCAAGTGTCCACTGCTTACATATTACTATCATGATTGTACTATAGACAGAAAATCTTTCAAATCGATTTTGGGCGCTTTTTAACCATTTGTTGTAATGTTTTTAGATAAGTTAAACATCTAAATTTATAAAAATTTTTATCGGAATGAATTAATTGATATTTAATAATTTATTCGGTAGGTTTATCTGATATTGATATTGATTATATTGACATTGTTATTATTGAACGAAGCTAACTCTAGACATAGTTAATACTACTTCTTTTAAGAAAGGGACTTGGAGTATAAACGACCAAGTTTGCATAAATTTCTATCCAACCAAGAACTCAGGAGGCAAAGGTGGGTGCGTAAACTTTTGGTCTGCACTCTCCGATCCTGTATCACCCTGGATTCTTCTCGACGTATCTTTGTAAAAGTTATATACCTTCTAGTCAATCTCTTGCTACTCCAAGTCCCCTAAGATATCTGATCTAAAGTTCGTGCTAGTTATATATATATGAAATATATTTTTGTGTGCTTTAATTGATACTAAATAAAATTGTTGTTTTCTTGAAATTGTTGTTTTCTTGTTGGGCCACCTCATATATCCAAATCCAATTTGCAATTACTTATTTCTTAGTTCATACGACCTTTTTCCTACGGCAATAGTAGGCCAGGGGGAATTTTTTTAAACGTAGATTATGCATTAAGGAGTTGAAATAGATACAAACATATTATTTTCCATTGAATGGACAAAAAATATGAAACCCTTTTATCAGAAGTCTCTTACAACTTCATCCCTGCCCCCATGTGTGCGCGTTGAATTATCTCTTCATTCTGTATGTGCACAAAAATTTATTTCAATCTCTTTGGCTTTGTAGATTTGTATACATTGTTTACATACATTTTCTGTACAACGTGTACAATGCCTCTTCCGCTACAGAATGAACATATGGATATGTTAGAAGATGATATGGTCGTGAATGGCCAGTTCCTTACAGAATATGTGAATCGGATACACATGGCGACTGACAGTATTTTCAAGGTAAGGAGATTAGATGTAAAATCGGAGTTGAACACAACGATGATGTGCGGTTTGATAAGCTGAACCAGAGAAGTGTGCTTAGAGAAAGGTTATCAGAATGGTTAGAGACAGTGTGCTGTATGCTGGACAATTATTGTGGTTCATTGTTACAATCCGCCACAGAAACAGCTGACGACAACAGAATGTTCAGGAAAGAAAAAATAGCGGATGCGACTAAAATCATAGAACTACATTCAAGAGAAGTTGCTCTCTAAGCAAGAAGAAGATATGGCTAAAATCAGTGATTTTTTTGTTGTTTTTGTTGGTTACAATTCTGTCCGTCCAATTTCCTATCCGCTTGTCCTTCTTTTTTCTTCTATCAGTTGTGACGGAATTGTAATGAACAAAATCCATATAATTATTTATGATATGTTTGATTTCTTGTTATTGTACGTCATTCAAGTTTGGTAGACTGCCCCAAACGTTAATGTGGCTCTTGCTATGTGTTGGTTCAGCCGAATTAATTATTATGTAAAAATGTAATCAAGTTTATTTTTCTCTTTTAGTTAGTTGTCATCCGGCCAAACATTAAGCAACTTATATTGCAGTACCATTTATCATTTAGTATATCAAAATATGTCATTGTAATTTTGCATGGCTGAAATGTAACGCTTGATTTATATATATGATAATTAATTGAATTTTCAAAGAAAAAAAAAAGAAAAAAAGTAAGCAATAAATAGTAACACGACCATTTCAGGTAGCTCAATGTCCAGTGCACTTCCTTTAAACCCAAAGCCTTTTTTGAGTGGTCTGACTGGTAAGCCAGTTATGGTCAAATTGAAATGGGGTATGGAATACAAAGTAAGTACTATCGTTTTAAATCTAATTTTTCAGTATTATCTATTTAACAGGATCAGAGAACGACTGTGATTCCGGTACCGGGCCCCAGTTGCAGCCGGAATTGAACTTTTTACCGTGATCAACGTCTGAACTTTCTAGAGAGTAGTTTTTACTTGGTTTTACTAGGTGTTACTTGTTGTTACTAGGTATTACTAGGTGTTACTTGTTGTTACTAGGTGTTACTTAAATACTAGGTGTTACTTGTTGCCACTAGGTGGTACTAGATGTTACTTGTTGTTACTAGGTGTTACTAGGTGTTACTAGGTGGTACTAGGTGTTACTTGTTGTTACTAGGTGTTACTTGTTGTTACTAAGTGTTACTTGTTGTTACTATGTGTTACTTGTTGTTACTAGGTGTTACTAGGTGTCACTTGTTGTTACTAGGTGGTACTAGGTGTTACTTATACTTGTTGTTACTTGTTGTTACTAAGTGTAACTTGTTGTTACTAGGTGTTACTAGATGTTACCAGGTGTTACCAGGTGTTACCAGGTGTTACCAGGTGTTACCAGGTGTTGATAGTCCTCTCCACAGGGTTACTTGATATCAGTTGATAGTTACATGAACCTTAACTTGGCAAACACAGAGGAGTATATTGACGGGGTACTGGCTGGCAACCTAGGGGAAGTCCTTATTAGGTAAACTACTACACATTACTCTACTGCTTACTTCATTACCCCATATCCACAAAGTTGGCAAACTTTTAATTATGTGGATATGGGCACATTACTCTACTGCTTACTTCATTGCTTGCAAATACCTAAATCAATAAGATTTTTAACTAAAATAGGCATAAAATGCAGAATTATAGTGCATTTGAGAACACTTTCCTTTTGTCACATTGTAATAATGCAATATACCACTAACCAGATAATGCCCTATTATTAAGAATAACTGTATCAGGTGTAACAACGTGTTGTACGTGAGAGGTGTAGAAGAGGAAGGAGCAAGCCAGGAGATCATGGCTTGAGAAGTACACTTCATTATATAGTGACATGTAACTACTAGAGGAGTACATCTTGTAACTAAGTGCAATTGTGGTAACTAGGTGGTAACTACTAACTAGTTGGACAATAGACTTGGTTTTGTCAGGCCACGCTTGAGCGAAGAATTTCAGATATGAACATTATCTCTACTTGATAATTCTACCAAGAAAACATTCTTCAGAAAATGACCTTTTTATTTTGCTCGATAGCTTGTATTTTATTTTTATGTTCTTATTTGTCAACTTGATTATTATTATCTATTTAAAAACAAGTTCTTCTTGAGAAATGAGTATCTTGTGTTAAAACTAACAGTAAAAAAAACTAACAAGTAAAAATGTGATTGAAATTACTACAAACTGCAATATTATCTAAGATTAGACATAATTACAAGTTAACTAATATGTACTCTCTGGAAAGGTGAATATAAACAGCATATTATTAACTGCCATGCAGTATTTTAGGATGGTTACTAGGTGTTACTAGGTGTTACTAGGTGTTACTAGGTGTTACTAGCATATTATTAACTGCAGTATTTTAGGATGGTTACTAGGTGTTACTAGGTGTTACTAGCATATTATTAACTGCACTATTTTAGGATGGTTACTAGGTGTTACTAGGTGTTACTAGCATATTATTAACTGCACTATTTTAGGATGGTTTTTATAGTCCACCAACGCTGCGTGAGACACCTTGCCAGTCAAGTTCATCTCCAAATAGAGCGGAATTCCCGACTTCTGCTTCACACCTCCTGTGTCAGATACAATTCCTCACAGCAGGTAATATTCAAATCTAAATCACTAACAATTATTACAATTAAACCCTGATTTACCACAAACCCCAATTTCCCGCATACATTTCATTTCCCCAAATGGGAGTTTAACATAAAATGTAGGGAATGTAAGTGAACAATCAAAACCCCGATTTACTGCCACTTTTTCCCTTCCAGATAGATATTTTTGAATTTTGGAGCTATGTCCTTCCAGAGAGTGAGAGATAAGCACATGACCATCGCACTTTTATTTGATACATACATTGCATCGTAGCAACGTTTGGCCACCTAATATATCAGAACCCGACTAATAATTCCCTACGATATGTTTTGCCTTCGGCAAGGTAGAATCTGAAAGATCTACTATAACTCATTTAGGGTGAGAGGAAAATAGCAGAGAAGAAGCAGAGTTCATCAGATCACAGTGTTTCAGTGTTTGAGCGCCTGAACAAGGAAGATACTAAGGCAGTTACTGTCACCCAGAAAGTGGTAGGTGTTTCAAAATATTAATTCAAAAAGGTAGAATTAAATTATATATTTATAAAGAACAATAAGGTCAGAAACTCTTATCAGTTCTGTTGTATTATTTCAAAACTTTTCACACCAAATTACCTGGTGTTACCCGGTATTTTATATGTGTTACCAGAGGTAACAGAGTTTACTAGGTGTTACTAGGTGTTACTAGGTGTTACTAGGTGTTACCCGGCGTTAATCTGCAGGTAGAAAACGCTAAGACTTCAGTGAACTTGTTCGTGATTATAGGAGGTTGCGGTATAGTGCTTTATCTTGCTTACATGGTCCTGTCTGAATTCTTCTCTAACGTGTCACCTTCATCTGTATTCAAGGTACAGGATAACAGCACTGTATTATTGTTATTACCTACATTACATGTTTAATATAATGGTTATATGTATTATTATTTAAATAATGAGAATGTTTAATTTAGCTAGAAATTATTATAATATTATATTGGGGGGGGGGGGTGTCACGTCCGTCTATGTCCGCTTGTCTCATAGAATCCAAAAAGGACAGGACACAGGCGGACACAGGCGGACATAGGCGGACATAGGCGGACATAGACGGACATAGACGGACATAGACGGACATATACGGACATTAGCGGACATTAATGGACACCTAAATTGCTAAATAAAATGTTCAATTTTTGCTGTTATATAATGGGGATCATGTTTTTTGTCCGGTACCCTATATTTTCAAAACGGACAAAAAATAGAGCGGACAAAAACGGACAAAAATGGAAATAAAATTTAGATGCTTCCTCCTCCTACTCTTCCTCCTCCTCCTCCTGGGTCTTTCTGATCTTCCTCAGTCCTCTTCCTCCTCCCCTCCTCAGTCCTCCTCCTACTCCTCCTCCTCGTCCTCAGTCCTCCTCATCAGTCCTCAACAGTCCTCCTCCTCCTGAGTCCTCCTCCTCCTCCTCAGTCCTCCTCCTAGGTCCTCCTCCTGGGTCCTCCTCCTCCTCTTCATCCTCCTCCTCTTCATCCTCCTCCTCTTCCTCCTCAGTCCTCAGTCCTCCTCCTCATCCTTCTCCTCAGTCCTCCATCCTCCTCCTCAGTCCTCCCCCAGTCCCCCTCCTCCTCCTTCTATTCAGTCCTCCTCCTCCTCCTCAGTCCTCCTCCTTCTCAGTCTTCCTCAGTCCTCCTCCTCCTCTTCCCTCTCAGTCATCCTCCTCAGCCATCCTCCTCAGTCCTCCTCCTCAGTCCTCCTCCTCCTGGGTCCTCCTCCTCCTCTTCATCCTCCCCCTCTTCCTCCTCGGTCCTCAGTCCTCCTCCTCAGTCCTCCTCCTCAGTCCTCCTCCTCATCCTTCTCATCAGTCCTCCTCCTCCTCAGTCCTCTCCCAGTCCCCCTCCTTCTCCTCCTCCTATTCAGTCCTCCTCCTCCTCCTCATCCTCAGTTCTCCTCAGTCCTCCTTCTCATTTCTCCTAAGTCCTCCTCCTGAGTCCTCCTCTTCCTCCTGAGTCCTCCTCCTGAGTCCTCCTCCTCCTCCCTCTCAGTCATCCTCCTCAGTCATCCTCCTCAGCCACTCCTCCTTTGGTGCACAAAACACTGCAGTACGGTTATGTTGAATAATTGTGGTTAATGGGTCATCTATGTGGCCACTATGGTGGTTAAAATACCAGTTTTAGGGTTAACCACCATTTTGAGATATGATATTATGAACTGAGTAGTCATTATATTGAGATCATATCATGGTGCAACTATCACAAAAGTTTTCAAACCTCATGGGGGGCATTTTGTGGTCCTGATGGTGGTTTTAAATTGAAGATGAACGGTGAGCTATAAATATTGCTCTGATTATAGATGTATAGTGGTGGTTGTTCATTTGTGCATGGATGATAATTTTTTATCACAAATGTGCAATTTAATAGTATGGTTGATTTGAGGTGGTTAATATTCGTAAAAAGTGCTAAAAAGATGGTTAAAATGTCAAAATTTGTTGTTAACCACCAATCAAAACATTATTAATGATTTTAGTCAACATTTTATGGTCAACAAAGGACATTTGAAGGGTCTTGATAAAAGTTATCAAGAAATGTTGTCATAAAAGTGGTTAAAAGGGCTATATTACTTGCTAGGCTGTTGAAAAAGGCATCTATTAAAGTGAAAATTAACCACAATATGAACTTCAGATAATGGTTTGCTATCCAAATGAGTGTATATTTGTTTTCAAATGCATAATTGACACCAAGTTCATGCATTCCGATCAATGTGCAGCTAAGGTGGTTAAAATGTCTCGAAAATACCCTATATTTGCACTAATTAACCATTGTTAGAGCACATATTAGCTTTGTAAAGCTATAGCTGGCCATGCTACATTATCTAGATATAACTACCTGCTCATTTATATGACCAGAAACATTGCTGAGTCCTATGTTGCGTCCATCATGGTTAATAAAGGTCTAAAATTGACCAAAATCAGTGTTTTTGGTCGTTTTAACCGCCATACGGACACACATTTTGTTGCATTATCTTTAAAATCACTTATTATCCTTCAGCTATCTCTCATAATCAAATATCAAAACAAAATAAGGCACCAAAAGGTCAGATTGTGCTGAATAATGGTTAATTTGTGATGGCTTCTGTTGACCGAAGGTCCAAAATCAACATGTTTTAACCACATTATGGCCACATCTAAGGTTTTATTGTATTGGGACCATAGCCAAAAGTTTTGGGCACCTGGATGGTGTACTCTGCTTTTGGAATTATGGTGATATCTCAATGCTGTGCCATTCCAGGTGCGCACGCACACACTTTTGGGGTTTTTTTGATATACCACAGTTGGTGGTTAACCGTTTTACATTACACCTTCAATAAAAGTATTGGGCACTCTAGTGGTGACATAATATATAAAGAAATTAAGCATAAACTAAATATGTTGGCCTACAGATGGTTAAGTACTACAGTGGTGTATTTCAAAGTTTCCCCAGATTTGCTGCTATTGCTGCTCCTACTTCTCAGTCCTCCTCAGTCCTCCTCCTGAGTCCTCCTCCTCCTGAGTCATCCTCCTCAGTTCTCCTCCTCCTCCTCCTAGGTCCTACTTCTGGGTCCTCCTCCTCCTCCTCCTGGGTCTTCCTGATCCTCCTCTTCCCTCTCAGTCATCCTCCTCAGTCATCCTCCTCAGCCATCCTCCTCAGCCATCCTCCTCAGCCATCCTCCTCAGCCATCCTCCTCAGTACTCTTCAGTACTCTTCAGTCTTCCTCCTTCTCAGTCCTCCTCAGTCCTCCTCCTGAGTCCTCCTCCTCCTCAGTCATCCTCCTCAGTCCTCCTCCTCCTCCTCCTGGGTCTTCCTGATCCTCCTCAGTCCTCTTCCTCCTCCCCTCCTCAGTCCTCCTCCTACTCCTCCTCCTCGTCCTCAGTCCTCCTCCCCAGTCCTCAACAGTCCTCCTCCTCCCTAGTCCTCCTCCTCCTCCTCCTCCTCCTGGGGCCTTTTCCTGGGTCCCTATATAACTTGATATAATAAGTTAAAGCTATTAATAGCTTTAGTGTGATTAATAAGTCGTTTGTTTTGTACAAAATTATAATACATAGAAGTTGCGAAAAATTCTAAAAAATGTTTGTCCACTAATGTCCACCAATGTCCGCTAATGTCCACCAATGTCCGTCCGAGTCCGCCAATGTCCGTCCGGGTCCGCAAATGTCCGTCTGAGTCCGCCAATGTCCGTCCAAGTCCGCCAATGTCCGTCCGTGTCCGCCAATGTCCGTCCGAGTCCGCCAATGTCCGTCCAAGTCCGCCAATGTCCGTCCGTGTCCGCCAATGTCCGTCCGAGTCCGCCAATGTCCGTCCGTGTCCGCCAATGTCCCAAAAAACACGTCCGTTGTCTCATAGAATCCAAAAAGGACAGGACATAGGCGGACATAGACGGACGTGACACCCCCCCCCCTATATTGTATCAGAAGCATTGTTCATAAAATCTGAACTGATTAAAAAGTCCATAATCTTGGTTGAATGACTTAAATGTACATCTTTGTTGGGTATATTTTAATGTCGAAGCGTGTAATAAATGTTAGAATTTATTTATTTATTTATAATCGTAGACTACCTTTAACATGGTATATACAGATGGCAATGAAGAAGATAATGAAGGACGAGAGAACGTCATTGATATTGGGAGACAAGATAAAGGGGTACGGAGATCCAAATAGCAGAACTAGGAAACGTCTCGAGCATCAGCCGTACATGGTAAGTATAATAAATAATGCTCCCTTCGTCGCTAAATAATGCCCTGTTCAATTCATCAAACAGATCTCCGCTCTATTGTATTCTAAAATCATTTTCTAATTTGGAGAGGGTTTATTAAAAACATACAACGGCTAACATACTTGAAATTTGGTATAATGCATAAATTCGACACCTAGTGAGTGTAGTGACACAATGTGATGAAGAGTTTTTAGCAACTGCTCCTTCATAATATTTTGTGTCATTTCTCAAAAAAGTCACACTTTCTATGGTACACCCTGTATATGTCAAAATACATGTGTAAATCGTCTTCATCTTCTAATTACACTAATTACATCTTCTAATTACACTCTACTTCTTTCAGGTGGCAGATGTTGACTATCTGAGGGTTATATTCCACGTAGAGGGAACCAAGAGATCTGGAGTGGTTTCCTGCGATCTTAAGAAGTCTAAAAACGGATGGAAGACTAGGTAGGCACAATATGAAGCAATATTACATTGTTTATTATCATTTTATCTAATTCTATGGTAATTGTTGGAGTATTGCAATTAAATGTTTAGACGTGAGATTTTGTCGAACGTTCAAAAAGTTTAAGTTTAACTTTTTAAGTGCTCTTTGTTTCCTGGATATATTTTTAAGTGCGGTGAACTCTGGGCTGGATCTTTGCTCTTATTCTATAATCCTTCAGGTACATAATAATAAAACTGGACGGGTTTCCCCCCGGTAAGATAACGATAGAAGATAACAGACACGAGACAGACGCGGAGGATTTACCTGACATTGATTACAGCGATGTAGCCTTCTCCGAGGAGAATGAGTAAATAAGCCTTGGGAGGGGGGCCGGGGATTTGTGATCCTCTAAGACCTCTATTATTAAGTTATTAGAGTTCTGAGAATTTTAGTATTGGAGTTTGTTGCAGTAAATTTCTTTCCTATTTGAACTTAGTGTTAAAATAAGATTTTATGGAAGTTGATTATAACAGAATGATAGAGGTTTATTCTTTATTTTGTAAATATGCATCAATGGGTTAAATTAGTGAAACAATATTATCATACCAAGTCAAATACTTTGTCAAGCTGGAATAAGTATAAAGTTATCTCCTTAAATATTTATTCTTTGTATTCGAAAATAACGATGAGAAACAATGTTTATTTAAAATTTCAATAACTTTAAAGCACAGAAAATCGGATAGCCAACATTTTATTTATGTCCACTGTCCAGTCTGTAAGTTTGTTTTTAAAAGAAGAAATTGGTAAAGTTTTTGTCGCTGAGCTTCTCCTTTTTTTCGGATAAATTTTGATTTTTATAGATGTTCGTTTTGATAACAAGTGTTAGTTTCAATTTGTTTTTATTAAGTTATCGTGATATTCATAAAGAGAGTTGGAAGTATCCAGATGATCGCACAGTAAATCAGATTGACCATGTCTGCATCTCTACCAAGTGGAGTCACTCTGTACTCAAGTAAGAGCCTGCACTGTAGGCTGTAGGGGTGCAGACATTGGCTCCGATAATTATCTGGTTCGGGGTCAATTTAAAATCAAACTTATGGAAGTTCAAAAATGAACGCAACACGTAAGATCTCTCTGGCGATTGAGAATCAGTCAAAGGTTGAAGAATACTGCATCGCTCTTCAAAATTGTTTCAGCTGCTAACCAATGTAGTGGAGGAGAATCTTGATGGAGAGTTGACATTAGTTAGTGATACCATCAAATAAGTATCTATGGAGGTACTGGGTGAGAGCATCTGTCTCAGGTAAATCCTTATTGCCGAACTCAGTATAAGATCGAATAGAAGGCTCCGAGGGACAGCAACAATAGGAGCGAATACTCTCGGGCCAACAAACAGAAGAGCTATAGAAAATATGGCGAGAATTAGGCTCTTAGGGTTGCAGCAAATTTTGGAACTGCTCCTGTCCACGGCCAGCAGAGGGAAGTCTGGCAACGGACAAAGATTTTGTCAGGTAAGAAGAACCGGAAATCAACTGTTGTCAGAGATTAAACTGTGAAGATGATTGCTGATCCCTCTGCTCATCTGCCAAAATCATTATGGCCTGCCTTGTACTATACATGCATTCTTTAATGGAACTGTCAGTTCTGTCAGACACAACGGTCAGAATGTTTGAAGTTCGATTATTTAGACACGATCTATTGTAGAGCTGGCAAGACAAAACTTGCTGAACTTGACACTCTGTACAAAAAGGTAGCCAAAATAGCTCTCAACGTTCCAAAAACAGAGAGCAGCCTTAATGTTTATAGAGACATGAAATGGTTACCACTCCATCTTAGACGACAACTCCATCTGTCAAATTATATGTTTAGAATCATCCATGACAATTGTCCTACAAACTTTATGAACAAATTTAGTTACATATCAGGAGGTAGTAGGAGCGGCGAAAGCTGCAACCTTTATGTCAATAGATCAACATCACATAAAAACTTTCAATACTTGGGGGCAAAATGTTGGAATAATGTTCCAACAGATCTACGAAATCTGCCCGATGTTAAAAGCTTTAGTGATTCGTATAAGAAACAGCTACTATCATCTATAACAGCAGACCCTAATTATACCGTCGACAATTCATATGACAAATTTTACACTGCAATCATAGTCGCCGATAACTAAGTAACTTCTAATTCTTTTAAATCTGAGGCATATATAATTGATGTATCGAAAAGATATTCCCTTTTTTACCACCTTACCATTCTGATTGATTTTGCACATGACTGACATGTTTTAACTGGAGAAGGGGTTCCCACAGTGGTAGTTTTATAAACCACTTTTAATTTATTGACCTATTATACTTAGTGGTAGTTTTATAGACCACATTTAATTTATTAACTTATCATACTTAGTATTTTTTTTTGGTGACTGTATCACCCAGTTTTAACATTTGATAATTGTACAGTTTATTGACGACACATTGACTGAATGTTATTTTATATTCTAATTTATATTCTAGATATTTTATTTATTTTACAACAGACGACAACTTCCTGTTTTTTCTTCTATATTAGTTACTCATATCTCTTGTACAGACTTTTTTACAAGGACATTGACAAATGATACTCACATTAGGCATTCATTATTGCATCTAAATTATTTCACTTGCATTAGGCTTAGAAATTTATTCTCTGGTCAACAGATTTCAAATGTTTGATTAATTTGTAGTATGACAGTAAGGTATATAAGAAGTTATTTAATTTTGCTTGGGCTATTATATTGACTAGGTATTGAGGACTTGAGGTTTAATGATGATATGGAATTTGAATTCTATATAAATTTACGCTATGTGGTTGGGGCATTTTGCATAGTAAATATGGTTACTACTCATATATATCATATTATTTGATTGGTATTCGATTTCTGATTATTTCTCTAGGAATATGATTATTATATCTCAATTTGGCTTTAGGTAGGGTGCCCCGCTAAAAGAACTGGATTCTTCCAGGAAGCATCCCGTGCACAGAGCTTGGTCTACATATATATTAAATTATTAACCATTCATTCTGTATGTGCACGAAAATTCATTTCAATCAGTAAGAATGTTAGAAGTAAGCTCTGGCACGGGTCAAGGAGACATTCAGGGCCCTCGGCCCTCCCATTTTTAATGTCTGCATCAATGTAGCTGCTGAGCAAACAGAAAGAAGCAAAATGGTTTCTCACGGAGCGGTTATTCACAGATCTTTGAGTGCGCTTGGTGACAATATCACTGTGTGTTAGACACAAATTATGACATGACTGTACTAGATAACATGGAGGAAGGTCTTCAAGAAACAACTGACCTTTTGTGTATGTTTGCTGCCCAGGGAGGTCTCATAATTAATGGTAAAAACACTTGAGGCTATGGTAATAAGTAAAGAACCTTTTTAAGTCCCAACGGCCATGCCCAAATTAAGCCACTGTGAACATCACTGTTAGCTGTTGAAGACACAACAATGCAGCATGTTATAGTGACGGTACTATTGACCGTGAGCTGTCTGCTAGGATTCGGAAAACTTCTGAAACATGGGAAAAGAGGGCGTCCAATAAAGAACTGAATTGATTGTTGGAAGATGCTGTAACGTTTTCAGGAAACGCTGATATAGATCTAGAAGGAGCGAGCGAGCTGGCAAGCACTGCAACTGGAGAGAAATGATACGACACAAACGGGAGTTTATTGGTGCAGGCCACTCGAACGATTGAGGAGACCCAATAAAGTACACGTAAGTACAAACCTTGTTAATAAAGTGGTGGTCCCTCCAATTTGTTCAATTGATGGTAAATATTTCCTTATTTATAAGAAATGTTTGTTACAACGACCGATCTTTAAACAGAATGCATGGCTAAACAGTAGGCGGGCGGTTTGTTTTTATCATTTACTTGGCATTAATGGTCATTAGTAGTCACATGATATGAATTATTATTTATTTATTTGGGTCATCAGCTTAAAAAATTTTTAATTTTCGGATCGGAGGTGATTCAAGAGCCCAAACAGCCCTTTCGCCGCACGTGTGCTTCATTTTGGCGCCATTTCCTCCAAAACATCTATTTTACTAGTGAGAGCACGTTTCCTTGATTTTTGTAGTGGATTTGTAGTGCTTTTCACCCCTGTAGTGCTTTTATGTTCCGGGGTAGGTGGGACATGTTTTAGTTTAAAAATGGGTTCTACCTGTCCCAAACCATCATAAAAATCAAGTTTTGACCTCTCAACCCACTCGGGCCACTCCCAGGGGCCACGCCCATCCCAAAATGACCGAAATCCAGCTAAAATCCAGACTTTAAAATCTTTACCCCTGTAGTGCTTTTATGTTCCGGGGTAGGTGGGACATGTTTTAGTTTAAAAATGGGTTCTACCTGTCCCAAACCATCATAAAAATCAAGTTTCGACCTCTCAACCCACTCGGGCCACTCCCAGGGGCCACACCCATCCCAAAATGACCGAAATCGAGCTAAAATCCAGACTTTAAAATCTTTACCCCTGTAGTGCTTTTATGTTCCGGGGTAGGTGGGACATGTTTTAGTTTAAAAATGGGTTCTACCTGTCCCAAACCATCATAAAAATCAAGTTTCGACCTCTCAACCCACTCGGGCCACTCCCAGGGGCCACGCCCATCCCAAAATGACCGAAATCGAGCTAAAATCCAGACTTTAAAATCTTTACCCCTGTAGTGCTTTTATGTTCCGGGGTAGGTGGGACATGTTTTAGTTTAAAAATGGGTTCTACCTGTCCCAAACCATCATAAAAATCAAGTTTCGACCTCTCAACCCACTCGGGCCACTCCCAGGGGCCACGCCCATCCCAAAATGACCGAAATCGAGCTAAAATCCAGACTTTAAAATCTTTACCCCTGTAGTGCTTTTATGTTCCGGGGTAGGTGGGACATGTTTTAGTTTAAAAATGGGTTCTACCTGTCCCAAACCATCATAAAAATCAAGTTTCGACCTCTCAACCCACTCGGGCCACTCCCAGCGGCCACGCCCATCCCAAAATGACCGAAATCCAGCTAAAATCCAGACTTTAAAATCTTTACCCCTGTAGTGCTTTTATGTTCCGGGGTAGGTGGGACATGTATTAGTTTAAAAATGGGTTCTACCTGTCCCAAACCATCATAAAAATCAAGTTTCGACCTCTCAACCCACTCGGGCCACTCCCAGGGGCCACACCCATCCCAAAATGACCGAAATCCAGCTAAAATCCAGACTTTAAAATCTTTACCCCTGTAGTGCTTTTATGTTCCGGGGTAGGTGGGACATGTTTTAGTTTAAAAATGGGTTCTACCTGTCCCAAACCATCATAAAAATCAAGTTTCGACCTCTCAACCCACTCGGGCCACTCCCAGCGGCCACGCCCATCCCAAAATGACCGAAATCCAGCTAAAATCCAGACTTTAAAATCTTTACCCCTGTAGTGCTTTTATGTTCCGGGGTAGGTGGGACATGTATTAGTTTAAAAATGGGTTCTACCTGTCCCAAACCATCATAAAAATCAAGTTTCGACCTCTCAACCCACTCGGGCCACTCCCAGGGGCCACACCCATCCCAAAATGACCGAAATCCAGCTAAAATTCAGACTTTAAAATCTTTACCCCTGTAGTGCTTTTATGTTCCGGGGTAGGTGGGACATGTTTTAGTTTAAAAATGGGTTCTACCTGTCCCAAACCATCATAAAAATCAAGTTTCGACCTCTCAACCCACTCGGGCCACTCCCAGGGGCCACGCCCATCCCAAAATGACCGAAATCCAGCTAAAATCCAGACTTTAAAATCTTTACCCCTGTAGTGCTTTTACGTTTCGGGGTAGGTGGGACATGTTTTTGTTTAAAAATGGGTTCTACCTGTCCCAAACCATC